GACATCAATCACACCGTTGAACCATTCGAATGGAATCTTCCTTCATTGTGGGCCAATAGTACCCCTGCCAAAGTGTTTTCTAGGTCAACGACCTGCCCCCCAAGTGTTCTCAATAAATCCCTTCATTGGTTTCCTCAACACGTAGTCCACTTCAATGGGCCTAAGACATTTAAGGTAGGGCAAGGTGAAGGACTTTTTGTACAATTGGTCACTTGCAATGGTGTATTGAGTTGACTTGCATTGAACCTTTCCATGCTTCTCTTCGATCAGCAAGTAGAATTCCTTGGCGTAAATATTCTATAATAAGTCAGTCTAGCTCAATTCCGCAGCTAACACTGGAGATACCTCAACTTCTAGTGTGTCTTTTATGCTGGGGCATGCCAAATCTTCTATATGGACGGTCCTTCAGCATTTGAGTTCGTAGAGTTGGTTAGCTTTGACAATGCATCAACCTGAGTTTTCTTAGACCTTAAGATTTGTTGGATGGTAAAGGAATCGAACTTTTGGGTGAGCTCTTATAACTTTTTCAAATATTTGGCTATAGTTGGTTCCCGAGCTTCATAGTGTTCATTAACCTAGCTTACAATGAGTTAAGTCACTATAGATGGCTATTCTCCTCACATCAACCTCCTTAGCTAAAGACAGTCCTACCAGTAGTGCCTCATGGTTTGCTTTGTTATTAGATGCTTTGAACCCAAATCGGAGGGCGTATTTTAGCTTCACTTCTTTAAGTCCAAGCAGGATCAATCTGGTTTTGCTACCCTTCTGGTTTGACGATCCATCTACATGGAGCATCCAAGTTCTTCAATCAAATTGGTGGAGGCTTCCAAACTAGTAAATGATTCAGTCAGGGTCGGTGTTTCTAGGTTGAAGTGCACTCTGTGATAAAGTTAAACCATACGTTTAGGCCTTGATAGCAAGTCAAAACAAGTCATATGTTAAACTCGTTGAGTTCCATTACCCACTTGGTGAGTCTCCCTGATACTTTGGGCTTCTGAAGGACCTATCTTAGTGCTTGGTCAGTGAACACCACGGCTATGTGAGACTGGAAGTAAGGTCATACCCTTTTAGCAAAAATGGTTAGTGCAATGGCAAGCTTCTCTATGTTCAAGTACTTGGTTTTGGCTGCATGTAGAACCTTGTTGGCATAGTAAATTGGTTGCTATATTTTTTCCTCTATCAAACCAGTACCATGCTAACAACTTCATCGCTTGTTGACCAGTACAAGTATAACTCATCTTCGGGCTTTGGCCTCATTAATAATGGAGGTGAGTTGAGGTACTCTTTCAGTTCTTCAAATGCATGTTGGCATTCTTTTGTCCACTAGAAATCTTTGCTTTTTGATGGCTTGGAAAATGGTAAGCATCTTCTAAATTTCGACATGAAGTGAATAAGTGCTGCAACTCAGCTAGTGAGCCTTTGAACTTCCTTAATAGATCTCAGTGGTTGCATGTCCAAGATGGCCTAAATTTTCTCTAGGTTGGATTTGATGTCATATCGAGTTAACATATATCCAATGAATTTTCCTGAGGTAACACCGAAGATACTTATTCAGGTTTAGTTTTAATTGATATGTTTTCAAGACCTCAAATACTTTGGCCAGATCATCAATGTAAGAGTTAGCATATCGTTTTTAGCTACCATATCATCAACGTAGACTTCAACATTCCTTCTTATTTGATTTTTGAAAATTTTATTTATAAGTCATTGATAGGTCACCCCAACATTTTTCAGGCCGAAGGGCTTGACTCTATAACGATATAGACCAGTTAATATCAAAATATGTTTTCTCTTGATCATCAAGATGCATTAGGATTTGGTTATAACTTGAGGTGTTCATAAAGCTTAGTAATTCAAAGCCCGAGGTGGACTCTACTAGCCAATCTATTCTAGGGAGCAGGAAGCTATCCTTTGGACAATCTTTGTTTAGGTTGGTATAGTCGATGCAGATGCGTCACTTCCCATATGCTTTCTTAACGAATACCACATTCGAAATCCAGTCCTGGTACTTCACTTCTCATATGAAATCCACGTCTAGGAGCTTCTCGACATCCTCTTCATTTGTCTTCTATCGATCTAGGGTGAAGTTCTTCCATTTTTGTTTCACATGTATAAATTGGGGGTTCATGCTTATCTTATGAGTTAATGATCGATGGGTCAATCCCTATTATATCAGTAGTAAACCATGCAAAAACATCAGAGTTTAAATGAAGAAAACTTGAAGCTCGGTTTAAAGGGAATCTAGGAGGAATGAGCTTGCACTATCTTGTCTAGCTCAACATCTAAAAGTAGTACCGAGACCACTTGCTCCATAGGCTATCCCCAATTGTTGTTGATTCCATCAAGTAGATCTAGGTTGACAACTAAGGATTGCTTCCCTTTTAATGCTGCCACATAGCACTTCCTTGATTCGAGTTAGTCCCCCCAAACCACACCAATCCCTCGCTCAATTGGGAACTTCATGGCAAGGTGGTATGTAAAAACTATGTCTTGGAGTGGCATGTAATAAAAGGTGACTCAAAATCACATTGTAAGTAAGGTGTTGGTGATTTAACAACTAGGAATTGTGTCATGATTGTTGCCCATCTCGGCGTGGTCCCCATTGTTACCAACAAGCATATCTTTCCAATCGATTGGACAATGTCCCACTAAAATCAACTAATGGCACATCAGTGGAGACGAGCTTCTTTTAGTCGATTTTCATCTACTCAAACACTTCATAAAACAAAATGTCAACTGAACTTCCACTATCAATCAAAATCTCTCTTACCTTGTAGTTGGCTATTAACATTTTCATGACCAATGCATCATCATGAGGTAGGCAGACATCCTTTAGATCTTCTTCAAAGAATGAAATTGCTTCTTCGGTCTTCGTTTGCTTCAAAGGTTGAGTGCTGAGGTCAGTTTGCAACTCCCTGATCGAGGCCTTCCTAGTGGTATGGCCGTATCCTGCCACGACTAAGTCCCCAACAATTACAACAATCACCCCAATGGTACCTCCCTCTTCAGCCTCTTTATTTTGATTCTAATTTTTCATGCAGGATTCTAATTAAGGGGGGTCTACTTGCAACTGTATTCAAAAGTTCAGGAGAGGTGATTGCAATTACCAAATTTTGGGGAGGTTTTCAGCATTGATAAAAAAACTTTTCAGCAATTTATTCAAATAAAGTAATGGTTTTACAATTGTAATCAAACATCCCAATTATTTTTGTTTTGTATTTTGCTTTTTCTTTGTTTTGTTTTGTTTTGATTTTTTTCCTATGGTTAAATACTTAAAGTACCCATATGCTTTAAAAACTTGCCTGAATTACTTTAAGGTACACTTAAGTTTTATGACATGGAATATAAGGTCTCACTATAAAAGCTATGGATCTCATGTATTTTATTATCATGTTCTATAGCCCGCTGAACAGCCAATGTGTTCATCTAGTATATGTTTGGTTTTGTGGGCCTTTATGGATGGGTTGTTTATTTGTACTTTTTCACTTTAAATGTTTTCTGTTTTTGTTGTTTAGTTGGGCTTCACTTTAAACGTTTTTTTACTTTCCACCTCAGATTAATACCCATTAAAGTATGCCACATCAGCATTTGGTTTCAAAAAACGCTGGGGCATTGAAGGAAACAAATAATTTGACGTTTCCCCAAATCTATATCAATAATATAAAGAGAAACAAGAGAAGGCAAGAGGGCTCTCACGAGGTTGCTCACATGAGTACCTCTGTTTTCTCCCTTCTCACATGTGTGATATTATTTTGTTTAAATTACAAAAGTAACCCTTAATGTTGATATTGCCACGTATAGAACTGTTAAATTCTCTTTTCATTATTCCCTATATACAGAGAAATTTATAACTGACAAATGGAGACAATAATAGTCATTTACCATGTTATTAATGTGTTTGCTTAGAGAGATTTTATTCCCCTAACTTGAATTATTTTCTTCTACCCAATTTTCCCTCTATTTTTTTTTCTCCTGCCCTCATCGTTTCTCTAAACCCAAATTGGTAAGCCCCTATATTTCACTATCTATTTAAATCCTTCCTTAGTGGCTGCCTACACACATGCCTTTGTAAATGGACCATTACAAGTTGATATATTTAGCTCTCTTAAATATGTAAACTCTCTCAAATGAATACGTTTTAGGGCTTTTTCCAAAGCCCTAAAACACTTCTCTTCAATTTCTTAATTATGTGGTGCTCCATGCAATAGGGGTTTAATTTTCAACTTTTCATGGTAGAATATTCTTAGATCTTTCATAACCTAATTTTTGTACATTTTACATATTCTCAACTTTTTCTCAAGAGTGTTTAAATCTTACTAATCCTCTTCCAACCTTATGGGGAATGGTTGGTACAAATATATTGAAGTTTAAACACTTTTTTCAAATCTAGGTAATGACTGCCTAGATCCTCTAATGCCGATTTAACGACCTCCTCACCCTCCAAACCCTCTAATGAATCCCTCTTACTCTATTGGGATGAATAGTTTTATTCTTAATACTTTAATTACTTATTCTCATATATGTATTTTGATTTCACCACATTCAACCATCATCAATTTCTACATGCTCTTGTGCATGCATGTGTTTCACGCTCTCATACACAAAAATCAAAGAATTTCAGTTTTTATCATTTAATATGTATTTGATTCCATTGACATTTATTGAATAAATGTTTTATACTTGATGTAATTGTAAAATCGAAAAAAATAATTAATAAAAGCATTTATGACATATAGGCGTCGTTAAGCACTACATCAGCAAAAGTGCTAATAAACGCTTATTCATTAGGGGACGGAAAGACACACAGAATTTGCAAATGTACGATGCACGTAACAACGCCTTTGCTGATGGGGCGCTTACGTGGCAACATTTACTCAACAAACCCCGAGAACCAAACAAGTAATTAATCGTGAAGACATATGTGGCGTTTATGTGGCGTGGCTTTTTCAATAAACGCCTACGGAACACATAATTGTTGCTCTTTTTCTATTATAGACTCATAATTGTGATCAAACATCCCAGTTATTTGATTTCTCGGATTAACTGCAAGAGAGTTGGAGAGAAGCGCGAACATGCAGATCTTCGTGAAAACCTTAACGGGGAAGACGATTACCTTAGAAGTAGAGAGCAGCGACACCATTGACAATGTCAAGGCAAAGATACAAGACAAGGAAGGTAAACTGATTTCTCAAGTTTCGGCCAAGCCAGTTTCTAACTTTCGTTTTTTCTTGTGCATCTTCTCTCACTATTTTGGTTACTTACTGCTCTTAGTGGTGGTTTTACAGGAATTCCTCCTGATCAACAGCGATTGATCTTTGCCGGAAAGCAGCTAGAAGATGGCCGAACCCTTGCTGATTATAACATCCAGAAAGGTTAATTTTCTAAATTCTAAACAGTTAGGGTTTTGAGTTATTGTTGAAGCCTTTCGCATTTTTAACGGGTTTCTATCGTTTGTTTCGTCGTTATGTTGCTACTGCTGATGCAGAGTCTACATTGCATCTGGTTCTGAGGCTTCGAGGAGGATTTATCCAATCTTCTTTGATGGCTTTCGCTAGGAAATACAATCAGGACAAGATGATTTACGGGAAGTAAGCTTCGTATCTTCTTTATTATATATTTGAGAATTTGAATTAATGCATGTATGGTTTGTGAAAATGTAACATTGCATGTGATATTTAATAGGTGTATTTGAGACTTTACCTTTTTTTATTGGTGATTTGTTTGTTTTTTGATGTCTTCATTTTTTCTCTTGAGCGTTTCTAATAGTGATAATGAGTTGTTAATTTTGTAAGGCTACAACCATAGGGGTTATTTGTGTGTCTGGTCCCTTAGTCTTCTCAGGTAAATGGTCTTGCTTATTACTTGGAGAGCTGAACTTGTTCTTAGCTTTGATGCCTGTATGCAAGGGTGCCATGTGTCAGATACTTCAATTTTTAGTCTAAGTTTCATATCTAACACCTTGTCCTTGCCATATCTGGGTAATGTAGGTTCTTAGTGTTATGTGAACTGATTTTGACACAAAAGGTCGAACCTTGCTGGGAAAATTGGTGTAAATTTTAAATCTTTAATCAGCTCAAGAAAGGTGAAATTGAAGAGGGAACATTACTCGATGTGGATACCACAAACATAGCTCCCAAAGTGGTGATACACACCCAAGAATCTGGCCAAAATCGAGTTGCAAGCTGAAGATGGCACAACCCATGTTGCAAGAACTTGATCTAGTCTTTTTGTGTGAATTGATATCTTCTATTGAATGCAACTGTTAATCACTTGAGATTTCTTTGTTTCTGCTGGAAAATATTAGAGAGAAAAGAGAGAAAAGGTTCCCATTTCAGCCTTGGTTGAAGTAGGGTTTGGAGATAGGAAACTTGATGATAATCATGCTTAGAGTCCTACATGGAGTTTCCAAATCAGATTTCTAACTAAATTAGCAGTTTCTAATTAGGAAACAATTCTAGTCATATTGGAATCATGTGAGAATCCAAATCCTTCCCAATTTGACCCAAAAGATGCAACTACCCCATGTCCTAGTCAAACTAGGCATGCAACTACTCAAACTAGTCTTGTTTGGAATTGCATCAAAACTTTAAAATTATTTTGACTCACATGTTTGACTAGTCAATTTGACCTGATCCTTGTATGGTGTGGGATCCATTAAGCTCTCACATTAAACCATGTGGGTTTGGTTCATGTAATGAAACACATGGGCTGAATTCATTAGTTAAACCAAGTGAACCACCTCCTAATCTTATTGGGCTTGGAACTGGCCCAACTCTAAAACAAAAGTGGGATTTGGGTTTTAGCCACCATATGAATCCAAATCCATTTGTCTAACTTGTGAAATAAGCCCATGAGGTTTCAGCTAATAGACTTTTGCTCTTAACCTCTTAGACCATAGTATCTATACACTACCGTAGGGAAGGACTTCTTCCCTAATTGTATAATACAATATCACACTCTCTATTCAAAAGGATCTTGGAATTAAAGCCTTTTGCAAACCCTTTCATAAAACAAACTATTTATAAATATAAATACATTTTGCAAAACCAACTTCAAAACGAGTTGAAATCCACTGTCAACAATTTGATGTTTCCATCAGGGAGTGTAAACTAGGATATTCTCTTTGTTTGACAAAGTGGCTGTTCTTTTCACAATGATTACCCACTCAGGGGATTTCAAATTTCTCCAACATACTTAGATATTTGACCCTTAGAGAATCTCATTGGTTGGCATATCAAAAGCAACCTAATCCATCACTTATTATAGTGTCATTATCAAGTCTAGGGTTAAGTGTGACTTTCTAGATTTTTCCCATCTGTCTCGAAGGTCCAGGGCATAATTAGAAATGGTCCTTGTTCAGTGTTTCTGCAAACACCCATTTATTGCACCTTAGGTCTAATCCTAGAAGTTGAGGCAAACTGCTTCACCAATTCCAGATTTTTCCCATTTGTCTCGAAGGTCCAGGGCATAATTAGAAATGGTCCTTGTTCAGTGTTTCTGCAAACACCCATTTATTGTACTTTAGGTCTAATCCTAGAAGTTGAGGCAAAGTGCTTCACCAATTTGATAGTACAACAGTGTCAGCCTTGGCATGATAAATGCCCCAAGTTTATCAAATGGCTGAGAACATTTTAAACTAACTTAAGTCTCATAAATGTCCAGTTTAAGGGGTAAATCACAGGAGCATACCAAAACACACATGAAATGCTAATGTTCTGATTTTATTCATCAACAAATATCAGATTATGTTAGTTTGATTTGGCATTCACTGTTTAACACTTAGTTCTTAAATCTTTCAGGATTCAGTTAGTCTAGATATTGTTGTCCCAAGTAAACTCTTGGTCTTCACTAAATCTGCATTTTAGGTTACAAAACTTTTTGCTGACTTGCTACATATAGGGCTCAAATTAAGCTTTTTAGATTTTTGTCATAATGGCAACATTCATTTTGATTGTATAAGAATTAATTGGAATACCATAGTTGATAAAGAACCTGAACTCATTTATAATCCTTTCTTCTGTTGTCGTTAGAAATCTAGTGCAAGCATTTCTAAATTCGAGATCTTTGGAAACCCTAGCGTATGAAGAGATTCAAGCTAATCCTGAGAGACCGTACAGTGCGACAGCTTTCATTCTTCATGGACTACTGGGATCTGGGAGGAATTGGAGATCTTTCTCTCGCAATCTTGTGTCCAAACTAGCAAGCTCTACATCTTCTGTTGGTTGGTACCTCATTGTTTTACCATTTTCTCATAAATATCTGTGTTTCTTGTATTTAAATTTGCTTGCTTATTTTTTAATCAGTCTCTTTTCCAAGGTTGCTTATGTCTAGATTTCGTTGTTTGATTGATTTCTCTACTTTTCTCCTTGAGTTGGCAAATTGGGGTTTAATTTTTATTTATCAGTTGTATCATTTCCTTGTGATTTTTGAACCATTTATGTTTATGTAGATTGGAGGATGGTTCTTGTTGATTTGAGAAACCATGGAAGATCTTCTGAGATAAAAGGTCTAAATCCACCTCATGATATGTTCAATGCTGCAAGGGATTTGGCCAATCTGGTCAAGAGTCAAGGTTGGTCTTGGCCAGATGTTGTTATAGGTCATTCAATGGGTGGAAAAGTTGCTTTGCAATTTGTGGAGAGTTGTGCTCGTGGAGATTATGGTCATTCTGCTACCTTGCCCAAGCAGGTATTTTCTTTGATTATTTCTTACAATATTAGATAAATTGGCTCCACCAGGATACTTCTTTTATGCCCAAAGACAAACTTTGAACATGGTGTTGTACTCAATCGTGGAATTTTGCTAATTATGAATTTCTTTTTCAAGCTGTTGCACATAATCATCAATACCATCAAGTGGACTGCTACCATGATTCAAGGCTCTTCAGCTGTTCAGATATTAGCTAAAAAATAGCTTTTATCAATAAGAATGGGTTTCTTTGTGACCCGGAGTGAAATCTCCTAGCCATTTGTTGGGCTGTTAGGGGGGCCGAAAATGTGAAATTTTAGCAATTGGGTCAAACCATTTGCACCTGTAATTTGCGAAAGGAGGATACTTTCCTGTTAATTATGGATCTTCTTTTTCTGATTGGTAGGAAGACCAACATGTTTCCTGGTAATCGACAGACTAGTTTGCAGATGCAAGTCAAACCGCAACAGTAGAGTTTGATTAGGCTTCGAACATTCATCAATGATTCATTGGCAGATGTTGCAAAAAATTAAGAATAACAATCTTGAGAACAAACTGATCAATATATATAAATATATATATATATATCTTGAGAACAAGAGAGTAAAGACTAAAGAGAATAACCCTAAAATTACACTAGAAGTTTCATAGAAATCACCTCTAGGTGATTTCATACAGCAAAACTTTATAGGTGAATGAGTGTTGTTCTATCTTACAGCAGAAGCTTGTAGTAGCAAAACTCTAAATTTTCCATTCATCAGCTTCATAAAGAAGAGAAAAATTTATAGGTGAATGAGTGTAACGTAGAACGTTGTTCACTATAATTACAAGATTGCATATACTCCAAAGTCAGAGAACATGTTGAAACCTACTGATCCAGTGGCTATCAAACTTGATTACAAGATCGCATATACTCCAAAATCAGAACAAGTTGAAACCTATTGATCCAGTGGCCATCAAACTTAGAATTGAAGTTGAACCATGTTAGCAAGTGTGTGTAGAACAGGGCATAACAGTGATTTTTACCCCTATTCAGTGGCCATCAAACATATAGTAGTCTTTTTACCAATATTATTAGTACGAATTGTTTCTCAGCTATACCCCTATTCTAAATGACTTGTCCTACAGTTAAACAGGGCATAACAGTGATTATACCTCTCTCCCATACTAATAAATAATATCTAGCTGATAGGAAGAGTATTCTTTTTTTTTCTCCCTGTTTGAACTTCTTCTCTCCTCTTCCTCTCCTTTCTCTCTTCTTTTTCTGGTTTCTTAGGTTCAAGATACCTGCCATAAACCAGATCTATCACTCCAAGTGGCTGGACTCCAGACATAAAGTAAATTTCCAAGATACTTTTCTGTCCTAATTGTAAAGGACATAAAGTAAGTAATGAACTTCAAACACCTTCCAAAGACTTGTGTGAGGGGCTATTTGTTCTCATCATCTAGATTTTTATTAGGATGGGGTGGCTGCAGGTGTTATCTTGTATGCCTATACTCATCCTCTCATATTTGATATTTGGATACCTGTGCATGCCTAGTGGACCAGTATCAGACATGCAGATGATACATGCATGATATGGCACTTGATACCATGTAGTCCTTTCTGGAATATACAGTATACTCTATAGCATTAACACTCTTAACATATGCAAATGATGTGACCAAATAATACCCAAAAAACTATATACGTTAGAAGTTTAATTTAATTTTGCAAAATATTAGTAATTCAGAAATGACATTGGACTTTGGGAATTGGAAAATAGGTATAAAAGCATCTATATGCACTGGATCCTTTTCTCTGAAGATAAATAAAAAATTTTTTAAAAGGAAAAAGGAAGAGAAATAAAATAGAGGTGAGGATAAATCATCAGGGAATAAAAGAAAAACAAAAAAGTACCATCACACAGATCACTGAAACCCAATAGAACTATCCAGCCTCAAACAAAACAAAACACCAAACACAAAACACAAATGCCTAAACCACCACCTTCCCCGTACCCCATTCTAGAATCACAAGACCATCATTCAACTTAATCACCCTTTATCCACTGAAGCCATTCTCCTGTTCTAGCACCGGAAAAAAACATCCACAATAGAAGAACCAAAGCATCTCCTCCAAGACCCAAAAATGTCCAATTTTTCTCAACACTTTCCTAATTTTCTTCACCTTTTTATTTGGGCTAATCCCAAATAAGCCTCTCTTCAATCTGTTAAAAACTTTTGAAACTTAAACATCTCAATGATTTTTTGACTTCTGCAATGTCTTGCTGTATTGAAATTAAACCCTGCAATCTTTTTATCGTAAACTACCCTTGTTACATGGTCCTTGCACCATCCACTTCACAGCTCATCTTAACACTAGAATTGAAATCCACAGTAGTTCCATCAATCACAACATCTTCCCGTCCTTCCTCTAGAAGACCATCTTTTGCATAATCAAAAGCTATTTGAAAACTTTGCTTCCCAACTATATCCATATCACTCATTACATATTTTTTACCATACCTTCCTTCCTCTAGCTCTCTGGACATCATCATCCTTGCAAATTCCTCCCCACCCAAAAAGAACAAACCCAAAATTTTACTCACCTCTACTTCTTTATTAACCACTTCTTCCAAATCAACCGAATTCTCTACCATATGAGTTTCATCTATCACAACTTTGTCCTCAACATCTTCATCTTTTTCTTCCTCCCAAATCTTCCTTTCATTCTAAGGGTTTTATCCTGTATTTCTTTCTATAATACACCTCCTTTGCTGGCTGCTCCAGTTACTTTCTACCATTCTCCAAGTCTTGCTGATTTAACTCTCCTGACACATCAAGTTCCTTCTCTATTTGAAGATAACCCTCTTGAAGCTCTGTAGCTTTTATTATCTATTATAGTTTGTCTGTGGAGAGTTAAGATAATTTACCTCTCCCTATCTTGTAATTTTTAATATTTCTAATGAAATTCTGTTATTGATAAATTATCTATTACTTTTTGGATCATTAACATGTGAAGTTTTATTAGTTATTATGAAAAGAAAGGCATACAATCAGTGATGTGCCTAGCACCGTTATGTTGGCCTAGCCCCTGTTAGCCTCGTGATTTACAAATTCCCATTTGGGGATTCAGATCCCAGTATGGTTGATCTCTGGTTGTTCCCTGCTTTGCTAGCCCATCTGCCTTGCAGAATTTGTTTAAGTAGTTTAAATTTACACTCATATCCTACATCAATAGAGTTCATATGACATTGATATTGCATACCTGAGACTTGTATGATCCCCTGATTCTAAGCTTTTCTAAACAGAGAAGTAACTTTGTAGTAAAACATTTTTTTCCTATATGCCATTTTAATTATTCCAAGGTAACAAATATCTATTTTATTTTCTAATACGAAGTTTTAATGCTTTCCTGATGCAGAACAGTTGTGGGTGTTGGACTCTGTTCCTGGACAAGTGAGCTCTGATGACAGTAATGGAGAAGTAGAGAAGGTTCTACAGACATTGCAGACCTTACCTTCATCAATCCCATCAAGGAAGTAATATCTTTGTCTCTCTACTTGATTGTGTCTGTTGTTTATTGACTGTACATGGGTGTGGTTGGGCAGCCATCACCCATAATGTAGGAGACAGAGTATGGTTCTCGATGATGGATTTGTTTAGCCATCAAATCTTGGGACATTGCTATTTTGTTTATATGCATAGAAATCTTAGTTATGCTTTGTCCACTTACAGCATTATCTTGGTAGTAAGCAACAATCGTCAAAGTTTAATTTGATATAATAGCCAAACCTGCTGCAATATGTATGATGGGAAAAATGTTAAAGTTGCTTTACTCCTATATGAAGGGTTTTTCCTCATCATTTTTAACAAATTACTTGAGTTACAAAAAGCCATTATTATCTTTAGTGCATGAGTATTTATGGCTCTAAATTCTAATACCTAGAAACAAGGAGCAGTTCAACTTTTATGTTTTAAATAGAAAGCCACAACGAATGCCAAGCTTAAGTCAATCTGGAAGAGGTTTAGGTTGGTGACCATGTTTTTTCAAAAACTGTTTAAGTTGGTATTTGGATGATGTGTTTTAATCAATACTACCAAAAGAACATTCATTTATTACCGTAAGTGACTCTTTCATTCTAGTGTTTCTCAACTTTCATCTTCTTTACCATGATATTCTCATATTCCAAAAATGCTCAACTAGATTAGTAAGGGCATCATTTTGTAAATTTAACAGGTAATAAAAAGTTTAAAGAGAAGAAACTACCGGTAATTGTAGAACAGTTACTTAAATACCCATACTTCTGTCTTGCTCTCTCTCTCTCTCTAACCACTTTTTTTCCAGTTCCACTCACAAATAATTGCACATTCCAGTATTCCCCCTTTTAGTTTCTTGACATGTCAGGCATTTGATACAGTAGATGATGTATATCCTGTTCTCAGGTGGCTTGTGGAGCACATGACTAAGCTTGGTTTCTCCAAGTCACTGTCTGAATGGATTGGGAGCAACCTAAAGAAGAGTGGGGAACACGAGACATGGGCTTTTGATCTCCAAGCTGCTGTTGAGATGTTCAATTCATACATGTAATTTCTGTGTCACCCTGGTTATTGGTTTTTCAGTTTTATTTCCAGCATCTTTTTCAAGCATCTTTCTCAAACTTGTCACAACCCTACAAATAAATCTTGCAGGAAAAACAGCTATTGGTCCCTATTGGAGAATCCACCTGAAGGGTTAGAGATTTCAATTGTGCGTGCGGAGAATAGTGATAGGTGGTCTTCGGATGTGATTGAACGACTAGAGAGCCTTAGTGCCCGTGAGGCATATGGATCGAAGGGGAGTGTTTTGGTTCATGTTCTTCCGAACTCTGGACATTGGGTCCACGTGGACAATCCAAAGGGATTACTTGAAATCGTAACTCCCAGTCTCATCTCTATTGGTTGAGCAGGGCATTCTATGGTTAAAGCCACTGGCTAGAAAGAGGCCATTATATGCTTGGGAAATTGAAATCAATAAGTAGTGTATAAATAATTCTCTCTTTGGGCAACCAATTGATACTGGCACCGGGCTGTAAGCTCCATTTCTTTATTAAATTATATATATTTTTTGTTTTGAATTCATTTGCACTTAAAGTTTCCGATTTATGTCCCTGCAATTCTAAATAATTCATGATAGGTTTTCTGATGGGGGAATCATTGTTGTGAATTTTTGGATTTTAAACATTTGGGGCTCAACCGCTCAACCATGCAGACTATGCACAATTAATCTATGTTTGGTTTAGTAGAAAACAGAAAAACGGAAAGTTGAGGGATAGTTATTAAGAAATTCCTCAACTTTTTTTTTCTTAGGCTGTGGGAGAGCTTCTCCAATGGGCTTTGTGGGCTTTGTGTTTTTCAAATTGGAGAAATCGAAAGCTAATAAAAAAGAACTTTGGTGAAAAACAAAACAGCTCTAATAAGCTTTTCAGTTCACTTTGGCAAAAAATAAATTGTAAAGTGTAAACAAAAATAGGTTGTGATCAGCCTAATAATAAAAAAGCGCTTCTTCGAAAAGCCAGTTTGAAAAATTGTTTTCTTACAGTCTGATCAGTCTAAAAAACACTCAGTCGGGGCTTTATTTTCTATAAATCCATCATATCAAACCAAAGACGGTCTTTTATCCTTGGAAACTGTGCTAGAATTAGTTCATTTCCAACTACGGTAAAGCATAAAAACCTCCCCTGAGTTTTCTCATGTGTCGATGTTTAAGTACAAAACAAGGCACAACTGGAGGACATCTTGCCAAAAAGATTTGAAAGTAACCATCAGACCAGGTCTGAAGTTCAGAAAACAAGCACGTTGCCTCATTGTCAGATCTTTTCTGCACAGAAAATTTTCCGTCTTCTTGGCTACCTCATTGCCACATCAGCTGGATCTTTTTCTTCACTAATCAAAATGGTAGCTTTGGGTTTCTTTTTCTTTCAACCGTTGACCTGTTAGATCCAATCACCGGGTTATAATGGGTTGTACATTCAATGCATATAAACTTTTGGAGGCAATAACTTTGTACTTCGATGTGCAATTGGGACAATTCTTTTTTTTTTTTTTTTTTAATTTTGGGTAACTTTTCAAGATCTGTGTCTCAAGGAGCCATAGTCTTCTTGCCCCGCTATTTTCATGAAAAAAATATCTTTTTTGGCCTTAAGTTACAATTTTTAATATTTTATAAATAAAAAATTAAAAACTTAAATAAAAAACATAAATTAAATATAAAAATACATATAACATATCTAAAACATAATTATACATTATTTATTGATAATATATATTATCAATATATTATTTATTGATAATAATATATAACATATATTATCAATGGAGCAGCCTGACCTGTTTGACCCGAATGGTCAAACCAGTGATCCGTGACCCAGAGGCAAAATCGGTTCAACCTCTGAATCGGTTTTTAAAACATTGGAATCATAGGAAATCAACAATTGAATTATGTCCTTCATTAATTGATAGTCGCACATTAGCTGATAGTAATGAAGGGTATTTTGGTGATTTGAAGATTTCCGTTAATTGGCACATAATGAAAAGGAGGTATTCACACATTTTTTTTAAATATTAGGGGAGATTTTTATTAAGGTCAAAATATAGGGGATGCTTTTACGATTGTCAGAAAACCCAGGGGAGGTCCTTGTATGTTACTTTACCAACTAAGGGGATTCTAATCCGGATCTCCTACTCACAAGAATCATACCCACACCTTTTCAGAGGACAGTAGAGTTGTATATTGGGAAACAGAAGATCCAAGCTCATTAAAGAGATGGAAATGCTATGGTAAAGGCTTCAACCGTTGGGTAATTAGTAGTTAAGTGCCATTTTTCAAGATTTAACCTAAATGCTTTGAGGCTAAACGTTTGTCCATCCTTGCCTTAAGTTGGTTGATAAACACAAGTTGCTATAATGTATATTAGTAGGGCCCCGTGTGATGTATGAGAAAAGCCTCTACCCAATACAATGATGAAGGGAATTAAAATTGAAGCAAAAGGAGCATTGTGACATTTCCAATTGGGATGTACTAATTCAAGTCCAATCCAAGTATTATTTTTTGGTCAGATGAGATTTATTAAGTATTGTTAATTAGTAATAAAGTTATTCAAATTTATTCCAAGTAATTAAAAATAATTTAAATTTATCCAAATTATAATTAATTATAATTGTTATAATATTATTACGTGAATTTTTTTAATGCAATATGTGCTAAGGTTTTGTTACTTAAGTTTGAATTTTTATTAATGAATCTTTAAACTACTAATTATAATAAAATTATTTGGCGCCTGGACATGTTCTAACTCACATCCCGTTGTCTAGCCTCATGAATCTAAAAAAAGAAAAAAAGAAATTCACACCCATATACCGTATGGATAATTGAGTGTTGTATAATAAATTAAGTTATTACATTTAATTAGTTAATTAAGTTATTAAATAATTCTTCTTTTCTTAACCAAAAATTAGTCTTCAAAGTTTCAATTGCATACTTGGTATTGTTGAAAAAGATACCAACCTAAATAAAAATGACTATTAAGTTCAATACTTCTAGATATAACTACAAAAAAAAAAAAATTGATTAACAAAGACCTCATCTCTTCCCTCCACCAACTTAAGCCTTCCTCTTATCCTTGATTTGTCTTCTTCACATGGTGAAAACATATAAAAATAGTAATATTTGGTATTTATAATCAATAAAAATAAACATCATATGAAACAAAAATAAAATTTACTATCAAAGAAATTTATAACATTGAAGTCCAATAAAAACATATATTGCATGATAAAAAATGAACACTTTCAAAAAAACAAGAGTTTTAATGACTTATTGATGATGGTAGAAAGCTTAAGGTAGACAAAAAGCTTTGCAGAAAAAAGCAAACTGAATTAAATAAAATATATTTAATAGTCATTAATGTTTAAACGCATGTTATACGTATTGCTAATGATTTTGTGTATCACCGTATATTTTATTGCAAATATATGCATTTTCTTCAAAATATCTATGATATTTAGCAAATTCTACATTTTATTGAAAATTTCTGCATTTTTCAACAAATTCTATCCACATGTTTATGATAACTATTTTTAATATTAAGTAAATATGAGCAATTTTTATTAATTATAAACTTCAAATTATCTCTATAACCATTGACTAATAATTATTTCTTTAATTATCATTAATGATAAATAAATTAATAATTCATGATAATTATATGAGTAATAATCTCAATAAACAATAAATTTATCTGAATAAAATAATTTTTAAAAATATATGTATTTAAAAATAATTAATTACTAAATGTATCAAAATAAATTGATATTTTAATTATTTTAATTGTCCTATACATATTATGTTTTGGAAGTTTCCACCTTTGTTATGGTGGTGAAATGGGAAGCAAGGTGATGTGGCCAGAGGCTAAGAGTTTGATGATGTAGCAAAATTAAGGGCTTGGGAAGGCAAACCTGTACTACACTGGATTTGTGCTATTTATTTTTCATAATTTTAAAATTAAGTTTAAATTTAGTTTAAATTAATAACTTTTACTTTTATTAAGTTTTAATTTTTAATAAATAGTTATTACTGCATAATTTAAGTTATGATATTATGCTAAGTTTATTATTGTTTAAAATTTTAATAATGTTAGATCTTTTTATTTCAAATTAAGTGTAATGTTAATGTAATTAAATTTAACAATTATTATTGTTAAAATTAAAAACAATAAATGGCTTTGAATTTTCTATTATTTTAATCATTTTTAAATTGAAATAAATTTTATTACTTTATAATTATAAAGTTATTATAAATAAATCTTAAATTTTTAATGATAGCATGGAAATATTATTTATAATTATAATAGCATTTTAATTAATTATTAAATTTTATCACTTTAGTTTTATCATTTGTCTTATTGTATTATTTATTTTTCTCTTATTAGTATTTTAGATTTGTTTACTCATCTTATTTCAATATTTAATTTTTAATTTAAACTATTTTTTGAAAAAGGTTTTGCATAAACGATAATATTTTAATACATTGGTTAAAAATTAAATGCATCTATTTAGAAGGTATAGAGAGAGAGAGAGAGAGAGAGAGTCTAGGAGATGTTTTAGGTGGGAAAGAGGTGTTAGAATTAGATGGTTTATTGTGAGATAGACTAGGAGATGTTTTAGGTGGGGGAGGTAGTTTAGGAGAAATTTTAGAGATTATTTAGGTTAATTGGAACGTATGGAGAAAGACAGATTAAAACTTTTAGGAAGATTTTTACGGGCAATGGAGAATCTCTTATTGGTTGTTTAAAAAATAACAAGGAATTAGAAAAGTAAAAAATTGTACAAAATGAGAAAATTCCTACACTTCCTTCATGAAATATATATATATATACTTAGTGGAGGCCCATGAGGCATGCAATGCACGGGATGGGGCACCCCTCCTTGTCCTTTGCCCTCATAAGTCAAGACACACAACTCCATCCCCACCTCGACCCCAATGGCGGGGTGGGTTTGGGGCAAAGCACCCATTCCCCATCGGGGATGGGCACCCCTCCTTGTCCTTTGCCCTCATAAATCAAGACACAACTCCATCCCCACCTCGACCCCAATGGCAGGGCGGGTTTGGGGCGAAGCACCCATTCCCTATCGGGGATGGGTAATCCCCAAAATTTCCCTACCCTGAGGCAATCGCCTAAAAAAATCTAATTTATGGTTATTTTACAAATAGGATTATGGGAATTTGGGGATATTTTAGGAATTGGATTATGACAATTTGGGGGTATCTTATAAATGAAATTATGGGATCCTAGGATTATAAGAATATGAGGAAAACTTAGAGATATTTTAAAAATTAATATTAAATCCATGGATATTTTACTAATTTACCATTGCGTTCAGGGAATTATATGCAAACTCCATCCCTAATTTGGGGCAAAAATATTTTCCTTATCCCCACCCTATCTTTGCCCTGTCCTCATTTGAGAAAACTTGCCCCATTCGGGGCAGGGCAGGGTAGGGCCCTAGTTTTATAGGGAAATCCCTACAATTTTAATAATTTTCTATAACTAATTAACTAACAATAAATTAAACAACAATAAATTAAATATTTTGTGATAATTTCCAAAA